TACAAGCATTAAAAAAAAAGGAAGCAGCACGCAGGTTTTTGCTACTTTAGGTGTGAACATAGCATAACAGTGGCTAGCTTCCAGCCATGGCGTCCTGCACGAGCATTGGGGGGTCGATTCGTTCACGTGTCAGGGTACGTGCACAGGGGGAAGGGACAAGCAGACGACTATGATTGACGTATCAGGAGACAATCGTGCACAGAGGACCGTCTTTTGTGATTGGTTGGGGTTATTCATTAATTTCTCACTTTTACCATTTATTTTAGTTACACTTTTAGACCTTCTTTTTCACTACTTGCTAAGCGGCTGTGGGGAGATCTTTCAGCCACATGGTAAAAAATGTGTCAGAAAAGATCTACTGTACCTTTAAATTGGAAGACAATCGGACACCTATCCAAGATACTTTGTTGCTCTAACTACATATTGCTCTGGTGTGAGGTGACTGAACTGATAAAGACTCCTGGATATGTGTCGGAACGTCTTCAGAAAAAGCGGAGTGACAATACAGTTGCCTTATAATTTCATCCTGTTTTTTTTTTTTGGTTTTGATATATTTTATTCTTGAATTAATTAAATCTGTGTTACATGGGAAAGGAAGAATTACATGTGTGATGGAAGTGATTTTTTTATCATTTCATGTCTTTCATGAAAAATATAACATTTATACTGTATGGGCATTACCTTGCACTAACAATATCTATACATATCTACTACCTTTCTCTGATGAGTGTCCTGTAGAAAAAAATGCTAAATACTGATATTTTAAAAGAAAAGAAACTATTTCCATGTTTAATTCTTTAATTTACTTTTACTGATGAAGCATTTTATTTTCTGAAATGTTTCATAGTACCAAGTTGCTCTATACTACTCCTAACTCAGTTTTTCAAAACTCATAGATGTTGAAAGGGGCTTCAAGCGAGTCAGGAAAAACATGCAGTGCAATTGGAATACACACAACTCAATATTCAAATATATACATTTCTTTTCATTTAAAACTTCTGAGTTGATCTGAAGGAATCAGCTCTGAGATGTTCTCTGTTCAAATCATGATAAAATATAACTTAAAAGGGTGATAATATGTTTTCCAAGTGGCTGTTTATGTTTTCAAGTCAGAACGTCTGGTTTTATTTCATCTGTAATGCTCCGTTATTCAGATCAATTGGTTAAAGTCTGAAATGCTGGGGCAAGTTGATAAGACAAGCCTTAATGTCAGTAACAGCTCCTGGTAGTTTGCCCATGTTCTCCCAACGCTGCAAACCACGATCGAAGCGATGGACCAGTCCTGACTCGCTGTAATCATCCTGGCAGTATCCTCCCAGAACATAGATCTTCTCCTCCAGGACAGCTGATGCAGCACCAACATGGGGTACTGGCAGTGATGCAAAGTCAGTCCAGGTGTCAGTCACTGGATTATACACCTCACAGGCTAGTTGATCAGTGTAGAACTTCCTCATGTTACAAACACCCCCAGCCACATAAAGACATCCTTGCAATGCTTCCATACAATGTTGGGCTCTGTCATTGGACATGTCAGCCAGGTAGATACTTCCACTCTCTGGGTGGTAAAGGAACATGGTAACCAGACACACATATTTACAGTTAAAACCTCCAGAGATGAAAATGCCTCCATTTATGGCAGTGACCCCATAGCCACTGATAGCCTGGTCCAAGGCGTGGACAAAACTATAAAAGATAAAAAAAAAAACAAACGTAGATCAGCAAACAATGTGGTCAATGCCTCGAATGTCAAAGGAAACTCCTATTCACTTAATTTCCATGATTTCTAGCTGGTATTTACTGAGTATGTTAAGAAACAGAACAATGAAATATAATTTTAGAAAAAGTTACTTGGATAAATCACACATGTTACATACAGATAAGCGATAAGTGATATAACTCATGAAAAATAAATAATTGCAAATACATGTATATTGATACATTGGATACATTACTTAGTGACTCTTGGCCCTACTTCTTTAGAAGAGTCTGTAGATTTTGATGCATAAATGTTGGAAAATCAAAACACTTATACAATTATTTTTTTATTGTTATTTCTTTTTTATACAAGAGCAAATTACACAGTTTTGAGAAGAGGTCTCAAACTCCAGTCCACAAGGGTATCCTGCAACTTTTGAAAGCTTCAACACACCTGACACAAATCTGTGTTTCATTAGCAGGAATGGTAGTTTTACCATCTGATTCAGACATGCATGACAAGGGAAACATATAGCTTCAGCCTTCCAGGATTT